CACTAAGTTATGGTAATGCATGAGTCAATTTGTACTGTTATCATCCAACACCCCCCCCCCCTGGCCGGGCAACATCCCAGGGATTTGTCATTTTTTATTCGCTATTAGCAAATTCCTCGACCCCGGGGCAACGCTGAAAATTGTAAGTACAAGAAAAATCAGCAGAGACATTAGTCAAATTATTTAATGAATTGAACTGCAAAGGTGTATTTATTAATTTCTTGACCCTAAATAATGTAGAATTGTCTAATTTAATCCAGATGGATTTAACTGTAGCCTGCACCAGTTCTACTAGTACTACACCAGACCTAGCATATATTTAAAGCAAATTAATGTAAAGGTTGGTGACATCAGACAACATATTGTCTGGTATTAAATATATAGTATATTAGTGCATGTAAATAGACATTTTGTACTTCAATTGCTACTTTATAGTCAAGATTATATTATAAATTAGATAAATTGTATAATAAAGATTTCTGCTTTTATGTAAGGTAGTAAAACTGTGTGTGTTAGAATAAAACTTACCGATTTAACTTGCCGTCGATCGCGTAAATATTTAATACTGCATCCAAAGGAAAAGAAGACTAAAATCACATCACAGCTGAAATTTTCACTCTTTGAAAACCGGAAACCAATTCTGAATATTCCGGAAATTCGCTAGTGTTCATTAAAATACCGCTGATAAAATATTATGTTATTGTTGGCTCATGGGGTTTAGGTCGATCCTATCTAGTGCCTTCCCTAAAAGTCACCCTTTAAGGTAGAAGCTTGGTAATAACGTTATATATGGCATTTTAAATGATTAATTCATCAAGAATATCACAATGAGCATACGTTTCAAGGGGCCGAAGTTATATTCGGCGAAAGGTATGTTTATGTTTTTATAATTTGTTGGTAAAATGCGTAATTTGATCGTATTCGATCTCGCTTTACTTTTAAAGCTCATAAATCGCAATAATGTTGCCAATGACTAAAACTGAGTGAGGAGATCTAGTCACACTGAATCGAATGGTGGTATTTTTGTCCTCATAGCATTCAATGAACCGAAGATATTAAATCGGCAAAGCGTATTGCTTACAAGCATTGCGATAATAGGGTCATGTCGATAAAGAGTTTTAAGGACATCTCCTACGGATGTAAGAAAAATTCAAACATCTCAGAACTGCCATTAAAAAAATGCTGCATGAAAGTCGTTCAAAGTACATCAACTCTATTTGCGATGATCACGGGAATAACCCAAAGCGTTTCTGGTCGCTCTTCAAGCTAAAAACCAAATCTTCCAATGTTCCCGAGAAAGTCTCAATGGGGGTTGAAGGAAATTCAAGGAAATACTCAGAAACACCAGCGGACATAGCAACTCTCTTTAATAATTATTTTACATCCATCTTCACCAATGATCCAGATACTTCTATAGACCCGTCACGATCGATGATAACATTTCCTTGTTGGAGGATGTTGTTTTAACACCTGACAAGGTGGCAAATGTACTAAGAACTCTTGATAACGACAAAGCTCATGGCCCAGATGGGATTCCTGCTCGTTTACTAACAGAAACTGCATCTCAAATAGCTCCATCTCTATATCAATTGTTTAACAAATCGTTGCGTATCGGCGTGGTACCATTTGATTGGAAACTCGCTAATGTTGTTCCTGCTCATAAAAAAGGAGACCAGGAATTTGTGGAAAATTATAGACCTATATCTCTGCACTCTCTGGTTTCGAAAGTTTTGGAACGCTGTGTCTTCAATACCATTAAAGATCATATTTTCTGTCGAATAAATCCTTGTCAACATGGTTTCCTTCCCGGAAAAAACTGTGTGACCCAACTTATCGAAGTTTTTTGACAACATAGGAAAACAACTAGATCGTGGCAAACAGGTCGATGTAATTTATTTAGATATGTCAAAGGCTTTTGACAAAGTTAGCCATAAACGTCTTCTTCTTCGTCTCCGTGAATTTGGTTTTGGAGGCAACACTCTCAACTGGTTCCGTTCCTACCTACAAGATCGTCGTCAATAAACAACCATCCTCGGTGCAACATCTTTACCTAGTAAAGTAACATCAGGGGTACCTCAGGGCTCCATTCTCGGACCGGTGTTATTTTTGTTATACGAAAATGATCTCCCTTCTTCTGTGAAGAATTCATCGATTGCAACATACGCTGATGACACCAAAATCTTCAAAGAAATCCATAATATTGGTGATGCTGCATCGTTACAAGAGGTCCTGAGTAATTTTGAATCATGTTCTTCAGATATGGGTCTTCACTTAAACACTTCCAAATGTAAAGCTCTGCGGGTCACCAGAAAACATCGCCAGATCAAGTATCCATACACCTTACAAGATAGCATGTTAGAAAACGTTGAAAGTGAGCGTGATCTCGGCGTATGGATATCAAACAATTTGACCTGGCGCAAACAGGTATTGGAACAATGCTCAAAAGCAAATAAAATGTTGGGTTTCATCAAAAGATCAACAAGAACAATCAAAAACTGTAAAGCCCGTCGGACGCTATATATAACACTTGTTCGATCGCAAATGGGATATGCTACACACGTTTGGTCTCCGCAAACCATCGACCTCATCGCTCGCTTAGAACTCGTACAAAGACGTGCTTCTAAATACATTTTAGATCTACCTTTCCTTTGTGAAAGCAGCTACACCCAAAGGCTTATTGACTTGGTCTTTCTACCTCTAAGTTATTGGCATGAATATCTAGACATGTTATTTTTCTACAAGACAAATTGCGGTATCATTTGCCTCTCGGATGCAGTTGTTCCCAAACATAATGAAAACTCACGAATTACAAGATCAGTGGATCCGAACACCATAAACTTCCAAGTTATGAAATGTAAAACCTCCACCTACCAACAGACTTATACGATAAGAACAACAAGAATATGGAACATATTAACAGGATCAATAACCGATAAATCTAACTCTCTAATAACCTTTAAAAATCTCTTAATTAAATATTACTATACCGCATTAGATAGGAATTATGATGTGGATGATCCTCGGTCGTGGAAAACAATTTGCCTGAAATGTAACCAGGCCCGGGACCTAACCAAACCTATTGCATGTTGTTTTTAAATGAGATATGTATCTATATATACATATATGTGTGTCTATGTGTGTGTGTATGTTTGTGTAACACTGTACTTGTACGTTTACGTTTTGGGATCACAGTAATTGGCCTGAAGCTGTTGTGATTTCCTGTCACATTTGTAATGTTATATATGTAATTATTGTTATTTGTCATGATGTATTCTTGTTGTGACAAAGCTTGTAAAATTAAAATATACTTGCATAATGAGCAGGGACACAGTGGAATCTCCGGAACATTTGGGATAAATTTTGTCACCAAACCATATGTCGTCAGTTCTGGAAAATGGCGGGGAATACTGAATACGATATAAACTGTTCATTTTTCTCATTTTAATATTCATGAATGACTTTTTAATATTCACAGGATGTTAGCCAGAAGTAAAAAAAATCTGCGTCTACCTGAAATTGGGAAATTTATTTTAGCCTGAAGCCGGGCATTTCTTTGTGGGTCTGGGAGCATGCGGTTGCCCCCTCCCGACAGGGTTTAAAAAATAACCCAAAAACCAATACACAGATTATCAAACTGAAATTTTAGATATCTTTGAAATTAATAAAATAGTTCATTTATTACGGTATAATTCCAGGTCCAGTGTTGACATGTATTAGCTGCCATTGTGCGTCATCGTCATTAAAATATTGATATTATTCCTTGTTGTACCTCAAGGATAAGGGGGGGGGGGGAAGGGTCGTTTGCCTGCTCTGGTGCTGAGTTTTGTTGTCATGTGTACAGCCCGCATCAATCCATCCCTGTTCTAGCTTGTACACTTTGTCATGTCATTTGTAGTATAGTGCATCAGGGGGGAGGATATAGTTGCTATATGGGAGAATCCCCTAATATCTGCTTCCCTTTTATAAGCCCCTTCACTATGAAACCCAAGCATCTTTCACCTCTGAGATTGTGGGTTCGATCCTCACATTGGATTTATGACGCTCTTGTGAAAAGTTTTAGTCAACACTCTACCAAATTCTGGTTTCCTCCCACAGGGTGGGTTGAGATTAGCCCCCTCACTGACCTTTCCACCATAGCTGTGCGCCAGAACGTCCTTCACAATTCAGCTTAGCTCTCAGCTACAAGTAAGGATAATTTGTACATCCCCAATTACTCACTTACTTACTTAACAGGGGGTGCTCAAATTCTAGTGCTGAGTGAGTAGGAGCTCTAGGTTCCACACAACCATCGACAAACAGTATTCAGTATTCTGTTTTTTTATTCACTTATCATCCTGTTGTTACTCAAATTCCTGTATCTCATTTTCTCTCTAATAATTTTTGTTTGATCGATGACAATTGCCTTATATTTGACAGAGTAATTAGCACCCCATTGGAATCCATCCCCGAGTATGAATAGGGTTCATAGCTTGTGTAAGTGTTACTGTAAAGTGCATCTATATGGATAAATATTAAATCAGATTAATTTTATTTGATTAGGTTCATGACAATTGACAAGATCATGTCCTAAGTATTTGATGTGATTGGCCAGCGGACTATTCTAATTTTTCTCTCATGGCGGCGATAAACACCTTTTTCTGACACGTTCACACCATGCAGTAAATAAAACTTGTCATATGAAAACTTGTCATATAAAATGTGTTGCATAATACACACGTGCACTTGGCAAATAAAACTTGTCACATAAATACTTGTCATAGAAAACTTGCTCGTCTGTAACCTGCTTTATATTTAAGTGACTGTGTAATTTATCATGTCTCATGCATACATCCATGTAATTCTCTGTTAGGATCACGAAGACGCTGAAGTTTGGTGCTCCAAACGTTCTGGTAATGCGCCTGTCCTCTTGATGGAAAAGGCGAAATGTTACCTAATCGTTGGAACGATAATTCTGGCGAAAATGAAGGCAACAAACCTGAATGAAGGAGTGTTTGCACTACTGGCAAGTTTTTATCTTTTAGATTTTGATTACCCACGATTTCTGGAGATTGGATTGTTCTCCATGCATAATTATGTATTTAAAGACATTAATGTGCCTCAAGATGTTGCTGGTTCATTTCAGTCAGCACTAACAAGTTTCAGAACATTCAAGGCTGATTTAGAGTAGAACATTGAACTTGACTGCTTGTCTATATGTGCTGTCTATATGTACTGTCTATATTCTCTCCATTAATTGTTTGATATAAATAGTGTAGACCAGCAGTAACTTGTCCTTGTCGCATACATCCAGGGCTCAAAATAACGGCCGGTAGCCTATGTCAACGGCTAAAGGACTGGCTAAAAATCCCTGTTGACCGGTCACTTACAGTTTGTTACAGTTTGACCTGAGACCTATATCAGTCGTTATTTTCCACCCTGTGCATCCAGACTGCACTGGGATATAATAATATGCATGTTTTATTTTGTATTGCGATAATTTTCTATAATTATATTTAGTTACAGTAAACAATGTCATGTTATTAACCATTTTCTCATTTGCAGTTCTTAGTTTAAGAAAATTTAAATTTCTTAATATAAGAAATATTTCTTATCTGATTTTCTTAAGAATTTTTTTCTTGGGAGAATATAAGATTTTACCATAAGAAAATTGTTCTTGAAATAAGAAAACTATTTCTTATTCTCACTTTCTTAAGAAAATTTTCTTGGGAGAGTGTAAATGTCCAGTTACATGTGCGATTTTTTTCTCGCGCCGGCAACGCAACGGGTTAAATTTCATTGCGTTACTCGCGCGAGTGATGAAATTACCCGTGTAACATATCTGGCGCGGTAACGCAATTGCAACCCGCTATTCTCGGCAATCGTTGCGGAAAGTTGAAATGCTAGAACTTTCGGCAACCGATTGCCGAAAATATCGAATTACCCAGGCATTGTTTGAGCAGGAAACGCATGGGCTATTTTAAGATAGCCAATGAAATTCGCTTCTGTACGGACAGCGTGCTGTAGCGCTGCCAAATATCGAAGCGTTAAACAACACATTTCTGCTGGCTTGACTGATTCACGCATTATTGTCTGTTTCTTTTAAAGCGCTTCAGATAGATTATCAACTATCTTTCTGAAATTATCAAAATCCATTCGCATAAATTTTTCAAATCCTGGTGTGTCGTGGGCAGCCAGATCGGGAAGAAGCTGACCGAAGTAACCTTTGTTTTTTCTCTCTAGAAGCCAGTGCCGGCTCCAAATACGTTTCTTTTCTTTAACCACCTCGTCATCTTCTTCCAGCAAAAGCATTGCAGCAATGACCACAAGTTCTTTCTTCGACGCCATGTTGTTGTCAGTGACGTTTGCGAATTGCGAAACACTAGTGCCAGATTTTTTCAAGCAAACAGTTGCGACGCGGCTAAGCTATCTTTGCTCGTGTCACCACTTCACTCGCGCGAGTAACGCAATGAAATTTAGCCCGTTGCAAAGGCGTTGCGTTGCCGGCGCAAGAAAAAAATCGCACGTGTAACTGGACCTTAAGAAAAAATTTCTTATGCAGATTTTCTTAAGAAAATTTTTCTTAACATGAGAAAAAATATCTTAAGAAAATTTTCTTAAGAAAACTTCTTAAGAAATTTTTCTTGTTACTCTCCCAACACAGCGCTTGTAATGTTTGGAGGAAGTTTCTTTTAAACGAGGAAATAATTATCAATTTCGACTGATCTTTTTACATTTTAGATTTCAAATTTTCAAAATAATGTAAAAAATATAATATTGTAGACATATATGATAATTCTATCTTCCTTCAGCAAATTATGATTCTGTATGTAGTCGTTGTGAAATGAGTATATGACGCCAGCAACACGGTCTGTGAATTATCTCTCTGACACCACAAGATTCCGATTAATTGGTCATACAGTTTAGAAACGGTCGTACTGAACAATCACCAAAGTTTTACGCTAACTTCATTTTTTCTCAGAACAAAAAATAAATTATAATGTAACATAATTATAATGTCTATTCTTTGTTTAAGTTTAAAATATCATACTTTTTATAAAATACTAGTTATAGAAGCGTTACTGATATTCATTGCATCGACAGCTGTAATATTACTTGTAACAGATCATAGCGGAAATTAATTTACCAACAACATAGTTCCGCACCCTACTGCGAAGCGTATACAGTGAAATATTTGAATAGTACAAATATGAAGAAAACTGCCTGATACTGCCCTCACACTCATTTGGCTACTGCATATAGTTATAAATGATGTTTGAGTTGAATTTTCAATTTTTGGTCAACAAATGCAAAAAATCCAAATATTTTTGGGCTATTTCCCTCGAGTCTTACAAAGAGGTTCGACAGCGGAAGTTACTGCAAAGGCTACGCACTCTGCGAGCGACTGGAGGAAATCATTCATTTGCACTAGAGGATATATTGCTAAAAAGCGAGAACGATATATTTTGTGACAGTTTAGCCGCGTTGTTTCCGAAATTTCTTTTCTTCAAAATTAAGTGCCAGACTATGGTCTTGTTTTCTTACTGCTGACGTTTTGGAATTCGTGAATATCGAAACCACTTACTTAAAAGCGAGACCGCCTGCTTCTTTTGCAGATAATAAGCAGCAAGAGTCTTTTGTAATACTGCATGTGCATATATTAACCTTGCATGCATGGTGATTTTGGTATGTTCAAAACACAAACATGTTTATAGTTTTATATGTGAATTATTCTTCGAATGTCAGTTAAAACGGGAATTTCTTTTTCCACTCCGTGACAAATAAATTTGAAGAGCGTGTAGAAAGAAACAAATAGAGGACTGTAAGAAGAATTTCAGGTAACAAACGCAACATTTTAGGGTGGTAGATCCCTACAGCAAGTATTTACTGTCTCTATTATTAATTCTGGTTGTTCATTTAACACTTTCTCAGTTGTGTCGAATTTTCGATTACAAATCAAAACGACTACTGTCAGAATAACCAACTTGATGTTCAGTTGTTCAAAACTTTTGAAAGCGATTCTCGTTGCATGATAGGAATTGAGAGCGACAGGTCATGTTTAAAACTAAGTACATTCGAAACAAGAAATGTTTGTTTGTTTTCTTCCGTTAATTAGCAAATTGTATATGGCCGGCGTAAACTTAGTGGTTTATTTATTTTCTTGAGCTAGCCAAGTTTCCGTGAAATAATAACGATGATTTTAACAAATCTCATGTATAAACAACAGTTTAATCAATGTAGCCTAATTAGCAATATAGACATGCACAAGTTTTAAAAACAAAATATTTGACCCTCTCTTCGAGTTTGGTTACGTTGCACGATAGAATCTAACAAAGCAAAGTGGGAAACAGCTTTCCAGTAAAGGCAAATCACTGTCAGAATGAAACATAAAGTATGTTAGTTTCGCTTTAGTGGTTCCGCTTTATTGGTTTGCATATTGAATACACACTGACACGAAAGCAATTTGAAGACCTCATCAGTAGCCCGCGAAAAGGTTCTCAAGGTGAAATGAGAGCCTCCATCGATGACTAATGAATTTGGATATCTGCGTCTCAAATCGTGACGCGAAATTCTGATTGCTCAAATGCTATAATTTATATGTTTTGGCTGAGCTCTATATATGTCAACTGCTGAAGCAATATGCATAAAAAACACATTAACTGATCAAATTGGTCTTGGCAATCTTATCTCAAAGCACGAAATGTTCTGTTTTGAGAAAACAGTATTTAAAACATTAAAACTTTTGCTTGAATATCTTATATTTCGAAAAACAGTATAAACTGTACGGTCTAAATTTAGTTTGCACGGTCTAAATTTAGTTTGCACAACACCATATAAGGATAGACATTCCACATTTGGAAAAACGAACGTTACGGAGCAGATATTCAAATTCATTAGTCATCGATGCAGGCTCTTGAGCCTGATCGAACAGGCTCTTGAGCCTGTTCGCAGGCTATCTCATCAATATTTTTTACATAAGTTCAGGACGAGTTGGTTGGGAGAAGTACTGTCCATTGTGACTATATATATATATATATATATATATACCAAATATGTATTTAGAATCATATATGAGTAGAGTGCTCGATACACCGAAGTCTAGAGCTAATAAAGATAATGATAAAATAAACCTGGTTTACTTCATAAGATTTATTCACTACAAACTTGTTTCGTATGACAAGCAATGCTTGCCACACTCATCAGGTGAATTTAAATGTCGCGTTATGTTGTTGCCAAGGTTATATATAATAAATACATGTTTGACGTAAACGGAATGTTCAAGTATTAAATTACGTATAGATTACATATACAG